CCAACTTGTTACTTTTCACTTGCATATCTTCCAGTTTGTGGGAAATCAGACATATATCATCGGCGAAATCCAGATCCTCCAAGTCTTTTGTCAGTCCATTTTATGCCTGTTCCCTCGTTGGTTGCCGTTGTCTGTCGCATTATCCAATCTACTGCAATCAGGAAGATCATTGGTGATAGTAGACAGACTTGTCTTACTCCCGTCCTCACTTTGAAGGCTTCCGTAAGTTTCCAGTTGTGGATTACTTGGCATGCAGCACTGTCGTATAACTGTTGGATGAGATGAGATGTATAATTGTCGATGGCGTCACGTAGTAGCGAAGTAGTTGTCTAATCACCTGTCGATCGACGCTGTCGAAGGCCTTTTCAAAGTCGATGAAGTTGAGTGAGGTAGAGAGGTGACTTCCATTCCAAGCTTTGTTCAATGATGATCCGTAGTGTGGCGATTTGATCAATACATGACTTGTTTCTCCTGAATCCAGCCTGTTCCGGTCGAAGTTTTTCATCCAGGTTGGCTTGTTTGATTCTCTCCAGAATGATTCGGCTTAGTATTTTGCTTGGGATGGACAGGAGCATGATTCCGCGCCAGTTTTTCCATTGACTTAAGTCTCTTTTCTTTGGTAGTTTGAATAAGTATCCTTTCTTCCAATCCTCAGGTACTTTGCCCTCTTTCTTTCCTCACCTTCTCCAGCGATGGCGTCATCAAGTCCGCTGTTGTCTCTGAGTCCATTTTCAATGCTTCTGCTGGGATTCCATCTGGTCCTGCTGCTTTTCCAGCTTTTAGCATCTTGATGGCATTCAGGACTTCTGATTTCGTCGGGCGGTCGATATTCACTGGTAGTTCTGCTTCCGTTGTTGGTATTGTTGGGCGCGTTGTAGGTGGCGGTCGATTTAGAAGTCTTTTGAAGTGTTCAGCCCAGTGTTTTCTTTGCTCCACCTCCTTGGTGATTGACTTTCTACTGTCATCCTTCACTGGCTTAATCTGTGTCGAACTTTTGCCCGATAGGTTCCTAGTTGTTTGGTAGAGTGTGGCGAGATCTCCTTCGCCTGCAGCTTGTTCTGCTGTACTTGCCATAGCTCCATAATATTTTCTTTTGTCTCCCCTGCCACTCTTCTTCACTATTTTGTTCAGCGTGTTGTAGCTTGCATTCAACTCCTGTTTTGTTGCTCGTCGGTGCACTGAATAATCTTTTGTTTCACTATCCTTCTCTCTTCTATTAGTCTCCAAGTGTCCATAGTGAGCCACTGTTTGTCCTGCCTCTTCTTTCTGCCTAGAACTTCCATGCAGGTTTGACTCCACACCGTTTTCAAGTTGTCCGAGTGCTTTTCGACGCCAACCTTTTCGCTAGTGTTGATTTGTGTCTCGGCTTTGTCCTTTATGCTTGCAATGAAGATGTCCTTTGTATCTTGGTCCTTCAGTTTTTGAGTGTTGAACTTGACTTGTGGTCTGTCTGCAGCTCCTCCTTCTCTGAAAGCTTTTAATTTGATTTGGATTGTCCCTTGTACGAGATAGTGGTCTGAGCCAACGTCTGCTCCTCCTCTTACTTTTGTGTCCAGTAGGCTGAGCCTCCACTTCCTTGAGCAGCATTGAGATGAAGTCGATCTGGTTTTTGGTTTGCCCGTCTGGTGACACCCATGTAGCCTTGTGGATATCTTTGTGCTTGTATACACTGCCACCAATCACTAGTTCGTTGAAGGCGCAGAAGTCGGCGAAGAGTTCTCCGTTTTCATTCATTTCTCCGAGAGCTTCTCTACCCATGATGAGTTCCCTTTGTGTGATGTCTGGTCCCAGTTTGGCGTTCATGTCTCCCATTAGTATTTTAATGTCGCCAGCTGGAGTATTGTCCATTGTTGCCTGTAGTTGTTTGTAGAATTCTTCTTTCTTTTCGAAATCTGCGTTGTTTGTGGGTGCATAACATTGTGTAATTGACACTTTCCTTCCTTTTGAGTTGAATCTTGCGGTCATTATCCTGGGCGAGATCGCTTCCCATTGCATCAGCGCCTTTGTTGATATCATGATAGCCACGCCCTCGGTGTGCGTGTGGTTATCTTCTGGGTGACCGGAGTAGATCACTGACTCACCCGTTGACAATTTGGTGAGTCCATTCCCGTTCCATCTGCTTTCACATATTCCCAGCATTTGGATTCCGTATCTTTTCATCTCGTTTGCGATCTGAGAAGCTTTGCCAATCTCATACGTGGTGTGGACGTCCCATGTCCCCACACAGACTTTTTCTTTTGGCGCAAAGCGATTCACTGAGCTGAAGTTTATGTAGCAACTTTGTTTACAGGATGGGATTGCTAGCATCACGCCTGAGAAAGGAATTGTTACATTAAGATAAAGTTTAGAGAGAAGCGACTTTTTGGGTTGCTCCCCTCAAAATCGGAAAATAACGGACAAACAATGAGAACAACATCAACAAAAAGAAACAGTTCACAGAAAAAAGGGCAAAAAGCGACAACAATTATACAATAAGACAACATGCAATATAGTTCAGCACAGTTAACTAAAATGGTATCTCAACCATAAACTCACTGACTCGGAGCAACTTGAACATGTAAATCCAACAATATATACAATTATAGATGTGTTTATGTTTAAAAGTTCCACAAATCCAAATAGTTAGTTATATGTATTATCTGTCAATAAGATTGTATTCTTGGATTCAGTGTTCGAAAGGTAAATAATTGTGATAGTTTCCACAAACTCTTGGCATAAAATTTTACAGAAACGAGAGTTTTTATTAATAAGGAAAATGTAACGCAGTAGTCGAATAGCGCGCGACACCATATAGCTTTCACGATATCCACTTCGCTGAGACCGTTTCGTCATAAATGATTGCGTTCGGCTCTCAGACTTCTCTATTCTAGCGGTGGGGTGCTGTATACTGGCAAACCTGCTCATAGATTGATTGATACTATCTTTTACCAGTTTCAGAATATCATCGAACTTTGGATCAATACCTTCATCCTCTATACGGGAGCTTATCTTCACCCACTTCCTTTGCAGTCGAGTAGGTAGGCGTCTCAATATTACGTGTACGACGGATCGTGAGTTCAGATCGCTCATGCAATTCATCGAAATCAACGTATTCTTGTAAGTCATCTGACTATCCAAAAACTCAGAGAGTGCCCTGGAGTCATCTTGTAATTGACTACCATTACCTTTAACGGCATCGAATACGTTCTTTACAATCATCGGAGGTCTTCCAAATCTTTGACGCAGGGTACGCATCGCCTTAGTATATCCTTCGTTTGGCTTCATAAACCTACAGCACTGTATAACTCTTCCAGCAACTCCAGTGCAGTACCTCGACAAATACATTAACTTCATTTCATCATTTAATAAAAACCACTCAACATCATCTCAAACTCCTTTACAAACTCTGGATAGTCGGTTGGGTTTCCATCAAAGTACCTAGGCTCGAATTTAGGTAACTTTAGGCCCTTACTACCTCTAGACGGCGAACCATGTACTACAGACTCATCATGCTGAGCATCATACATATCATTACAATCAACAAGCAACTCAGCATTACTTACTTACCTGTCTGCTTCCAAGACGCTTTGTCCCTTCTTTGACCCAGACATCACTGAACTTGACCAAAAAATCCAGAAAAGTTCCAGATAACACTTTGTTGCAGAACATTCAAGTCCGATACCAGTTACATAGAGAGCAATAAAAGAATCAAAAAAACAAACAAGTAGTTGACCAGTAGCTTGGTAATTTTCTGGTAGCACTTCTGATATCATTGAACAACCGGCTGTTAGTAAGCCCCCAATGTATAGACCTGATATAAAGCGTAAAGTTGCTAACCACGTATATGTTGGTGAAATAGCACACAGCCATGTCATGTGAATAAGCGCAAGACAACAAACAACATTCAAATCTTTACGTCCGAGCCTGTCTGATAAATATCCTATCGGTGGAGAACCTATACATATACCCAAAAATACTAGAGTGGTAAGAAGAGCAACATAATCCGAACTCATATTCCATTCACATCGTAGTGTAGGCCCAAGAATTGCTTGAATTAAAGTTTTCATGATATCAAACGCTCGAGACATACCGACGATTATAATGACACGAACTTGATACCATCCAAAACCTAGTTGATCCAAAAGCTTGGACTCCAGAAAGTTTAACAGTGCTATCAGACTCCATTGCATGTAATGTGGGGAGGATTCGGAAAGTCACTTTCATGAAGAGAGCAGTCGACGTTTCACAAATCAAATCTTCAGAATAATGGTGAGAAATTCGATACTCCAAAAATATTCAACTGTTTCGAAAAATTAAAAGAAGCGTGTATCTAAATTACAAATTGAATCAAGTCATCATTGAGATTCGTCAAAGAACTTTGTTTTGCATTGGACCTTTGGACATCCAAATTACTATTAGTTATTTCAAACAAAACCCTATTTCCCTTTAACTATTTTGCTGAAATATTAACCTTTACCTATTTATTTTGTAGGAAAACTGCAAAGAGACTTTTTAAACCGCATTGTTGTTTGACGACAGTTTGACTGTATTGGTCAGCTGTTGATGGCGCTAAAGTGGAAGTGCTTCTCGCGCTGCACTAGTTGTTGGGCTCTGTGGTCTCATACAAGCTGCGTTCTCCGCTGCACAGCGTAAGTTCCTCGTAGTTTTCAAAACCTTATCAAACCCTTGTAGATCGTTCTTCTATCCATTTAACAGGACAGGAATATAGCTCGTTACTTATTCATGTAAGTGTGTTTTTCTTTAACCTTATTGCATGATGTTACAGATCCTTGTGCAAATAGTTCTTTCTTTCATTGTTGTCTGTATTAGTCTCGTTGGTCTCGCTGGGAATCTCAAGGAGTTAGAGGCTGCTGCAGAGTTCAGGGAGAAGTTTGTTCCATCAATCGTTTCATATATTTTTAGGACCTGCGATTAACTTGGAAATAGACCTTCCTTTTACATTTTTCATCACCGCAAAGCTCCCTTGTCGACTAATCCCACCCTCTAATTCAGTAATCACAATGTCCACCAATCCTATTGTTCTTGCCCGTGGACACACTGAAGCAGTCACAACTTTGTCACTTTCTGATCATCTGCTGGCATCTGGAAGTGCGGATGGCAATACCTATTTCTGGTCTCTGGATTTGATCCAAAGTCCTTGTCCTGTTCTCCAGGCTCCAAGATATGGTCACTGTTCTAGTCTCAAATTTAGTGTTAAACAAGAAAATATACTCTACGGGGCGTATAGCCAAGAAATTATCTCGTGGGATATACGCAACTTAAGACAGCTATTCGATATTTGGAAAGTATGTTGACAGAACTATCCTTTAAAAACTAATCTTTCAACCTTTAGGTTAATGAAGGGAGAGTAAATTCGATTGACGTATCTGAGACTGAAGACCGGCTGGCGTCAGCAGATGATACTGGTACAGTACAGATTATTGATCTGAGTAATGGTTCGCTTGTTCGTACTCTCAAGAAACATGATAACAGCGTGTCTTCAGTTAAGTTCCGACCGGGTCGTCCCTGGCAGCTGGTGAGCGGTGGTGTCGACTGTAAAGTTGTCGTATCCGACTGGCGGGGATCAGGCTTGGCGGTTAATATTTTTGAGCTGAGTGAAATTGCTGACTACTCTGGCTCAGACTCAAACAATGTTGAGGCTGACGATTCTTATATAGACAGTATAGATGATGAATCCTTGAATGTACTCCTCCGTTCCAACTCCACCATGAACTTTGACGGGGGTAATACCAGAACGAATGACCGCATTCGAGATCGGTTCGCCGAGCAGATTGTAAGTCAACCAGCGTCAACATCTTTTCGTGTATGTTACATGTGTCCTTATTAACTGTGTTTCAACCTACAGGATTTCATGATGACAAGAACAGTATCCTGTTCCATGACTCCTCATTTTATAAAGTAGCCTACTGTGTAGACTAAAGTGGGATGAAACTTAGGCATTTCAGCGTGTGTTCTAGGTGTTAATCTCAATATTTCTGGTCGCTTCTTTAAAAGTGAAATCTGTTTATTTTTGGTCTGTCATGTCGGAAAGTATATAATGAGCTGTAAATCCCAGTTGGCGTCACAATTAAGGCTCTTCATCTCATTCTAGTGAAGCTCATAATCGTAAATTTGATGATTGTAATACAAGCTCCGGAACACCCGTGCCAGGAAAAAGCATCTCGTTGTCTGCAAAGATCTTCAGATGTGACTAATTGTATGTTCTACCACCAACTAGATGATATATTTTAAATGGGCTTCGCAATTCTTTCAGTGGCAGCTCCTACGTGGATATCATTGCTCCGTCAATCAAATTTACTCTCCCTTCATTAACCTAAAGGTTGAAAGATTAGTTTTTAAAGGATAGTTCTGTCAACATACTTTCCAAATATCGAATAGCTGTCTTAAGTTGCGTATATCCCACGAGATAATTTCTTGGCTATACGCCCCGTAGAGTATATTTTCTTGTTTAACACTAAATTTGAGACTAGAACAGTGACCATATCTTGGAGCCTGGAGAACAGGACAAGGACTTTGGATCAAATCCAGAGACCAGAAATAGGTATTGCCATCCGCACTTCCAGATGCCAGCAGATGATCAGAAAGTGACAAAGTTGTGACTGCTTCAGTGTGTCCACGGGCAAGAACAATAGGATTGGTGGACATTGTGATTACTGAATTAGAGGGTGGGATTAGTCGACAAGGAGCTTTGCGGTGATGAAAAATGTAAAAGGAAGGTCTATTTCCAAGTTAATCCCAGGTCCTAAAATTATATGAAACGATTGATGGAACAAACTTCTCCCTGAACTCTGCAGCAGCCTCTAACTCCTTGAGATTCGCATCGAGACCAACGAGACTAATACAGACAACAATGAAAGAAAGAACTATTTGCACAAGGATCTGTAACATCATGCAATAAGGTTAAAGAAAAACACACTTACATGAATAAGTAACGAGCTATATTCCTGTCCTGTTAAATGGATAGAAGAACGATCTACAAGGGTTTGATAAGGTTTTGAAAACTACGAGGAACTTACGCTGTGCAGCGGAGAACGCAGCTTGTATGAGACCACAGAGCCCAACAACTAGTGCAGCGCGAGAAGCACTTCCCACTTTAGCGCCATCAACAGCTGACCAATACAGTCAAACTGTCGTCAAACAACAATGCGGTTTAAAAAGTCTCTTTGCAGTTTTCCTACAAAATAAATAGGTAAAGGTTAATATTTCAGCAAAATAGTTAAAGGGAAATAGGGTTTTGTTTGAAATAACTAATAGTAATTTGGATGTCCAAAGGTCCAATGCAAAACAAAGTTCTTTGACGAATCTCAATGATGACTTGATTCAATTTGTAATTTAGATACACGCTTCTTTTAATTTTTCGAAACAGTTGAATATTTTTGGAGTATCGAATTTCTCACCATTATTCTGAAGATTTGATTTGTGAAACGTCGACTGCTCTCTTCATGAAAGTGACTTTCCGAATCCTCCCCACATTACATGCAATGGAGTCTGATAGCACTGTTAAACTTTCTGGAGTCCAAGCTTTTGGATCAACTAGGTTTTGGATGGTATCAAGTTCGTGTCATTATAATCGTCGGTATGTCTCGAGCGTTTGATATCATGAAAACTTTAATTCAAGCAATTCTTGGGCCTACACTACGATGTGAATGGAATATGAGTTCGGATTATGTTGCTCTTCTTACCACTCTAGTATTTTTGGGTATATGTATAGGTTCTCCACCGATAGGATATTTATCAGACAGGCTCGGACGTAAAGATTTGAATGTTTTTTGTTGTCTTGCGCTTATTCACATGACATGGCTGTGTGCTATTTCACCAACATATACGTGGTTAGCAACTTTACGCTTTATATCAGGTCTATACATTGGGGGCTTACTAACAGCCGGTTTTTCAATGATATCAGAAGTGCTACCAGAAAATTACCAAGCTACTGGTCAACTACTTGTTTGTTTTTTTGATTCTTTTATTGCTCTCTATGTAACTGGTATCGGACTTGAATGTTCTGCAACAAAGTGTTATCTGGAACTTTTCTGGATTTTTTGGTCAAGTTCAGTGATGTCTGGGTCAAAGAAGGGACAAAGCGTCTTGGAAGCAGACAGGTAAGTAAGTAATGCTGAGTTGCTTGTTGATTGTAATGATATGTATGATGCTCAGCATGATGAGTCTGTAGTACATGGTTCGCCGTCTAGAGGTAGTAAGGGCCTAAAGTTACCTAAATTCGAGCCTAGGTACTTTGATGGAAACCCAACCGACTATCCAGAGTTTGTAAAGGAGTTTGAGATGATGTTGAGTGGTTTTTATTAAATGATGAAATGAAGTTAATGTATTTGTCGAGGTACTGCACTGGAGTTGCTGGAAGAGTTATACAGTGCTGTAGGTTTATGAAGCCAAACGAAGGATATACTAAGGCGATGCGTACCCTGCGTCAAAGATTTGGAAGACCTCCGATGATTGTAAAGAACGTATTCGATGCCGTTAAAGGTAATGGTAGTCAATTACAAGATGACTCCAGGGCACTCTCTGAGTTTTTGGATAGTCAGATGACTTACAAGAATACGTTGATTTCGATGAATTGCATGAGCGATCTGAACTCACGATCCGTCGTACACGTAATATTGAGACGCCTACCTACTCGACTGCAAAGGAAGTGGGTGAAGATAAGCTCCCGTATAGAGGATGAAGGTATTGATCCAAAGTTCGATGATATTCTGAAACTGGTAAAAGATAGTATCAATCAATCTATGAGCAGGTTTGCCAGTATACAGCACCCCACCGCTAGAATAGAGAAGTCTGAGAGCCGAACGCAATCATTTATGACGAAACGGTCTCAGCGAAGTGGATATCGTGAAAGCTATATGGTGTCGCGCGCTATTCGACTACTGCGTTACATTTTCCTTATTAATAAAAACTCTCGTTTCTGTAAAATTTTATGCCAAGAGTTTGTGGAAACTATCACAATTATTTAACTTTCGAACACTGAATCCAAGAATACAATCTTATTGACAGATAATACATATAACTAACTATTTGGATTTGTGGAACTTTTAAACATAAACACATCTATAATTGTATATATTGTTGGATTTACATGTTCAAGTTGCTCCGAGTCAGTGAGTTTATGGTTGAGATACCATTTTAGTTAACTGTGCTGAACTATATTGCATGTTGTCTTATTGTATAATTGTTGTCGCTTTTTGCCCTTTTTTCTGTGAACTGTTTCTTTTTGTTGATGTTGTTCTCATTGTTTGTCCGTTATTTTCCGATTTTGAGGGGAGCAACCCAAAAAGTCGCTTCTCTCTAAACTTTATCTTAATGTAACAATTCCTTTCTCAGGCGTGATGCTAGCAATCCCATCCTGTAAACAAAGTTGCTACATAAACTTCAGCTCAGTGAATCGCTTTGCGCCAAAAGAAAAAGTCTGTGTGGGGACATGGGACGTCCACACCACGTATGAGATTGGCAAAGCTTCTCAGATCGCAAACGAGATGAAAAGATACGGAATCTAAATGCTGGGAATATGTGAAAGCAGATGGAACGGGAATGGACTCACCAAATTGTCAACGGGTGAGTCAGTGATCTACTCCGGTCACCCAGAAGATAACCACACGCACACCAAGGGCGTGGCTATCGTGATATCAACAAAGGCGCTGATGCAATGGGAAGCGATCTCGCCCAGGATAATGACCGCAAGATTCAACTCAAAAGGAAGGAAAGTGTCAATTACACAATGTTATGCACCCACAAACAACGCAGATTTCGAAAAGAAAGAAGAATTCTACAAACAACTACAGGCAACAATGGACAATACTCCAGCTGGTGACATTAAAATACTAATGGGAGACATGAACGCCAAACTGGGACCAGACATCACACAAAGGGAACTCATCATGGGTAGAGAAGCTCTCGGAGAAATGAATGAAAACGGAGAACTCTTCGCCGACTTCTGCGCCTTCAACGAACTAGTGATTGGTGGCAGTGTATACAAGCACAAAGATATCCACAAGGCTACATGGGTGTCACCAGACGGGCAAACCAAAAACCAGATCGACTTCATCTCAATGCTGCTCAAGGAAGTGGAGGCTCAGCCTACTGGACACAAAAGTAAGAAGAGGAGCAGACGTTGGCTCAGACCACTATCTCGTACAAGGGACAATCCAAATCAAATTAAAAGCTTTCAGAGAAGGAGGAGCTGCAGACAGACCACAAGTCAAGTTCAACACTCAAAAACTGAAGGACCAAGATACAAAGGACATCTTCATTGCAAGCATAAAGGACAAAGCCGAGACACAAATCAACACTAGCGAAAAGGTTGGCGTCGAAAAGCACTCGGACAACTTGAAAACGGTGTGGAGTCAAACCTGCATGGAAGTTCTAGGCAGAAAGAAGAGACAGGACAAACAGTGGCTCACTATGGACACTTGGAGACTAATAGAAGAGAGAAGGATAGTGAAACAAAAGATTATTCAGTGCACCGACGAGCAACAAAACAGGAGTTGAATGCAAGCTACAACACGCTGAACAAAATAGTGAAGAAGAGTGGCAGGGGAGACAAAAGAAAATATTATGGAGCTATGGCAAGTACAGCAGAACAAGCTGCAGGCGAAGGAGATCTCGCCACACTCTACCAAACAACTAGGAACCTATCGGGCAAAAGTTCGACACAGATTAAGCCAGTGAAGGATGACAGTAGAAAGTCAATCACCAAGGAGGTGGAGCAAAGAAAACACTGGGCTGAACACTTCAAAAGACTTCTAAATCGACCGCCACCTACAACGCGCCCAACAATACCAACAACGGAAGCAGAACTACCAGTGAATATCGACCGCCCGACGAAATCAGAAGTCCTGAATGCCATCAAGATGCTAAAAGCTGGAAAAGCAGCAGGACCAGATGGAATCCCAGCAGAAGCATTGAAAATGGACTCAGAGACAACAGCGGACTTGATGACGCCATCGCTGGAGAAGGTGAGGAAAGAAAGAGGGCAAAGTACCTGAGGATTGGAAGAAAGGATACTTATTCAAACTACCAAAGAAAAGAGACTTAAGTCAATGGAAAAACTGGCGCGGAATCATGCTCCTGTCCATCCCAAGCAAAATACTAAGCCGAATCATTCTGGAGAGAATCAAACAAGCCAACCTGGATGAAA